ATAAAAATAACTATTCACGGTATTATAACTGACTTTTTTACATCTGTAGAAGTAACATTTCATGATATTGTCAAAAAAAATAGGACTAACCGTACCATTCTAGAGATACCTTCGCTACAAGATGATTTAATAATAAGAATAAAATTTGGAAGTAAATTTGATTTATGTAGTTTAATTTTAGGCTTTATTCAATTTACTTTCATAAATACCTAAGAAGTAATTTAATAAAATCTAAAAGTAACTTACACATATGATAAAAGTAATTTTCTTATATAAAAAGATAATACACAATATGTTAATAGTGGGCTCCACACACTATTCCTCCTCCCAACATGGCACCGACTCTTCTCCGGTGCCATTGAGCTCGTCCTCTACCGATTGTTGCCCCTTCCCTGGCGCCGCCTAGTTTGTTCACCTTGTCAATTACTGCCCCTTCTCCATTGAACTCGTCCTCTGCCCCCCTCAAGCCAAAATCTGTTGACTACTGCCCCTTCTTTGTTGCTGTCAAGCTCTTCCACACTGTCCCACCGAGCTCCATGTCCCCTGATATGCGTGAGGTAGGAAGGGACGGTGAGGTCGACTCCTGATCTGGCAAAGAGGGGACATACAATAGCGTTGGGAGAGCTCTTCACCCCCTTGGGCTCTCACGTGGATCTGGCTCACTTGGCGGAGACGGTACTGTCCTCCCTTCCCTTTCCCTATCCTCCTGTGCCGCCTCCCGTGCACGCCTCGTCAGCCACCTGTGCTTGCCTTGTCCGCCATCGTCGCTTCGTCGCTGTCGCCTCCTACCATCCTATGCTTGTCTCGTCCACAGCCTGCTACTGAGCAGTGTGGAGAGAGAAGATAGTGGGGAGGGGGTGAAACTAGAGGGAAAGATTGGGTAGTGTAATAGAGAGAAAAAGAAGTAAGACTAACATGTGGGATCTATTATCAGATTGGAGAGTGTAATAGATAGACTATTGGAGGGAAAGATAAATTTAGTTCTCTAATATTTTGGCAAGATGGCCAATAAATTTAGAGAGCTAGATTTGGAGAGGCCGTTGGAGATGTTTTAAGGAGTTTATTATAAGTTAAATTAATTGCTTTTGAACCGCTTCGAGTTTAGCCGACTTTATAGAAAAACAAGTAACATTTTCAACATAGAAGAAATGTGGTGTATTTAATGAAAATGGTTTGCTGTTGTAGATTATCTTAACATAAAACAACATATGGGTACATGTACTCTTGGAATTATATTAAGGAAGAAGACGGAGCCAAGTAGAGGATATAGATATGTAGTATCTATAAGGGCAGTCCCAACCCATAGTATCAATAAGCAGTGTCTATGGTGCCATGTCAATAAGACATCACAATAGAAACTACACTTTACAACCCATGGTTTCTTAAAGTGGGCCATTAATAAATACATCATCTCTCTTCTCTACAAATCATATTTATTCTTCATCTATTATGAAGACACTATTATCTCCCAATGCAAAACTTAATAGTGTCTAGTGCATAGGTTCTCGTGTTGAAGCTGTGTCTTGCATGAGACCCAGTTTCTTCCTCTCTTCACTTTCTCTCTTAATTAATATAGTGCCACATAAGTTAAAAGTCCTACATGGCAATGTAGTTAATACCATAGACACCATCCTATGTGGAGGGTTGGGACTGCCCTAAAGCTACAACCAACTAAATCCTAAAACTCAACATGCAAAAGTGCAACATTATCATCCATTAGCAATTATTACATCTTAAACCTCATGTAAACATGCTATATCATCTATATTTTGTTATATTTAAAAGTTTTAAAATACAAGCATGTTCAATCATCATCCCATATAATTTACATAATATTTCAATATATATCTCCCTATCGTTTTCTACAATATTCTATATACATGTACCGTTCATCTCCACTAGTTAATGCCTTTTATCTTCTCTCATTAAACCTTATCACTTCAATTGTTCCTAACCTTTAGATTATTAATCTATAGTCCAAATTATTTCCCTCATTTTTTTCTCTCATGAAGCCACATCACCTTACTTTTTTACTTTTGGATTATCAATCTATATACTATTTAAAATATCATAAACCACATCAACTTAATGGCCTTTTCTAATGATCGATCAAAAAATAAAAAAAAATTCTAAGCTTATGACATCTAGCTATGTTACATGTTATTTCTACTATTATTGTATAAGCTCCCGCGGCAATGCGTTTGGTTTCATCTAGTTTCTAAGGATTCTGTGACTGAAAATCCTAAGAAATATTATCTTTCCTGTAGACTCCAGTGACAGAAGAAAATCATCCACTCCAACCTCTTTATTTTATTTTATTTTTTATGGTTGGTTTCATGTGTTTTTCAATTTTCTATTTATTATACATGTATTTCTATATTCTATTATTGTGATTTTCGCATTCCAGTATTTATATATGTTTTTACAATCTTGTGTTCTGAAAGAGTCTAAGCCTAGAGATAGGGGTGCCTATTGTGTAATATAAGTATTGCTCTATCTCTCTATTAATTTAGTTAAACTTAAATAAATTCAAATCATTAAAGATAATGTAAAACACCTTTTATATATGGAAAATAGGTAGGTATGTGGCCAATAATCTGATCGATCTTGGCCGTTGGATGCGATCAAGAGATCTTATGACCCATGTCTCTCCAATAATAACGTTGCTAGCACAAATTCAGATCCTCTGTATTGAAGGTACTAATGCAAAGGATGAATAGTACAGCGGAATAGGAATACTGGAATACTGTAGACCGTCCGATCGAGAACGGAAGTTTCGGATATCGTACTACTTAACAGTGTGCTACAATATTTTCGATCATGTAACCGCAGTAAATCGGCACTGTTCATGGTGTTAATTCATTGTTCTCTCACATGAACAATACTCCTCTGCTGTAGATGATCCGGATCCTGCTTGCACTACTAGTCACGTGTTTCACATTCTTTTCTTTTGAAAGAAAACAGTAGTACGTATCTCATATGGGTTTTTTTGTTAGAAAATATTTCATATGATTGGTTAGTTGGTTCGCTAATTTTGTTTGCTAGTTATCATGTATTACAACTTGGCACAAACTCATTATTATCTGATTTGCTCTCTTTGTGTCGTCGCCCAAGCAAACAAATATATATGTAGTACTGTAGATTCTCTCCATGCATTCATCTTAACTTCTCCGAATGAATTCTAAATTAAATGAATGAATCATCAAGATGCGTGAATGCGCAGATTAAGCTATTCTAACTAGGTTTACGAATTAATCGGCTAATTAGCAACCAACTGGCTAATCATCAATTAATTCTTCTTCATCATCATCATGATCATCATATTTGTTTTCTAAAATTTGCGCCGGAAATTCAACCTAGACTGGAAATATTTCTCCAATCTTTCGTTAGCTAGCTACCACAATGATCCAAAAGTTTTGTCAAATATTTAGAACGGGGCCGGATAGCTATATATAGCTAGGCAGTGTCGACGAAGATGATGTGAGATCTCTCTCATTGAATATCTGATCCGTCGTCTAATTCAAAAGCTTCCCGTCTCCGGACGCTAGCTGCTCAATTCTCTCCATTTTCGCATGCATCCAGCCAAACCAAATTGACCGTGGACTGATCATATTACATTACATCATCCTTCATTGATACTTCGTCCCATTTTAAATGTAATCATAGATTTTTGTCCATCTTATTTAAAAAAAGTCATACATAAAGCACTATTTATATTTTATCATCTAATGACAATAAAAATACTAATCATAAGAAAAGTTTAAATAAGATAGACGGTCAAATATCGAATACAGAAACCCACAACAACAGTTAAAATATAATGGAGTGGGTACATAGGAGCACTTAAAAGATCCTATAATCGATTGATGTACATCCTACGGCAGTCAGGCCACTGGCTGGTCTCGAGATGTGCGTACTCGCTAGCAATTTGCCCATAAAATATTTTTTCCCTCGAGGAATGATTTTTCTTTTATGTTACCTAAATATTTATGATTTCGTAAAGTAGAAAGTGTAGCTCAACTAATTAGGTTCCTATTGATAAAACCTGTATCTACTGATAATGTTGGTGCTCGTATTTATGACTATTTATTTTTTTAGTGGTAGGCAATGTACTCTTGACAATGAGTAACCCATGATGACTTGTCATTATCAAGATATATTTACCCAAGTTTTCTAGAGATTCTCATAAGGATTAGTTAGAAGTAATTTGTTTATTTTGTTACAACTTATAAAAGTTAATTTCTTTTAAAAAATAAATATGACTTAAATCTAGGTGACATGCAAGAAATAGGAGATATCCTCTCGCTCGGCAAAAATTCATCTCCCAATTTGTCACTAATTAATCTACTCTTACTCGTTAGAGTCATCAGCAAGCTAGCTTAGCTGCATGCTGATCGGGCCGGAATTTCGAACTTAATTAGCACGTGGATTAATTGGTTAGTACTTCCTCCGTTTCATATTATAAGACTTTTTAACATTGTCCATATTCATATAGATGTTAATGAAACTAAACACATATATATACACTTATAACGGAGGGAGTACAAGTCATTGTGTTGGTCAATTGATCGATCGATCTGTTGCTCTCCTGTTGCTGCGGCTTCGTCGTTGGCTATATATATATACACTAGCTAAAGACCCGTGCGTTACAACAGATATTATAAGAGATAAAAACAAAAGTAAAAGCAAAAGTAAAAGCAATTACAAATTTACAGCATATATAGTTAGTTGATTAGATATATAATATCATATCTAAAGCAAAAGCATTGTATTTATAGCCCCACATGTTAGCTTGTGGTATTAGAGTCATTTAAAATAGTTTAGATAGATCAGTTGCAGACTCACCCTACCTAGCTACCACTCGTGCATCTCTAACTTTTTTCAACTCTATACAACACATCGGTGTTGTACTAGCTTCCTTTAATTTCCTGATCGATCTTAACGTACTAGCTGTACTATATAAATACTACTAGTATGAATGTATAGTGATAAGCAGCGCATCAACTGTGCAACTCATAGCTAGCTGGAACTAATTTAACCAGATATAGTTTGATCAATCGAGCTAGCCAGAGCAACTGATCTGGTGATCATATATAGTCATGGATAGCAGCAGCTGGATCCATGGCTACACAAACGCCAACGCCACCGGCGCCAACAGCGGCTTCATGTGCGGCTACGCTGCCAGGTATATATGTGTTGAATTAAAACATCTTGATGAGATGATCACCGTGCATGACACGATCGATCAACGACAATATCATCTCTGTAAATCGTCTGTTCTTGAGTGGTTTTGGCTGATCAGTTAGTTACCTACTTAAGTTCGTGCTTGCGGCTGCAGCCCAGTAGAGTTTCCGCAGCAGCAACAGCTGGTCAGCTCGCCGATTCAGCAACACCTCAACCAGGCAAGCTTAATTTGCTCTGATCGATCAACAACAATGCATAAAATCAATCAAAATGATAGGATTAATCTAATTTGGTAGGTATATATGGTTTGCAGATCAGCATGCAGATGGGCATGGATGACGAGTCGGCGGTGTACGACGGCGCCTCCATGGTGGGCGACCTCCTCATGGCTTCCTCGTCGGCGCACCACGCCGGTGCCGGCAGCTTCCAGTACTCCTCGTCGACGACGTCCTCCTCCGCCTCCTTCCGCTCCGCCTCCGTCTCGTGCAACCCGGAGAGCTCGGCGGCGGCGGCGCCAGAGTTGCCGGCGGCAACCGGCGGCGCGTTCAGTCGCTACGCGCGGCACCTCCGCCCGAGGAGGCCACCCAAGCCGGGAGCGTGCGGGCAGAGGATGTTCAAGACGGCCATGTCGGTGCTCGCCAACATGCACGTGGCGGCGACGTACCGCCGCCAGTACTACTACCAGCAAGCGGCGGCGGCGGCGGCGGCCGAGGCGGCGCCGGCGCCGCCGTCCGACAACCAGCTGCAGCACATGATCTCGGAGCGGAAGCGGCGGGAGAAGCTCAACGACAGCTTCGTCGCCCTCAAGGCCGTCCTCCCTACCGGCTCCAAGGTAAAATTAATACGTACTCCAGTACATCTATCTATTATATAATTAAAGGAATAGAAAAAGGAGCCTCCACGTTCGCTCTCATGGCCTAGAAATTCTCACATTAATCGGAGAAAAAGAAAAAACAGAGTCCATATAGAAATACAATTTAGAAATAGCTTAAATTCGGAATTAAAAAATAAGGAATATTAGAAGAGGAGACCGGAGTCCATATAGAAATACAATTAGGAAATAGCTGAAATTCGGAATTAAAAAATAAGGAATATTAGAAGAGGAGACCGGAGTCCATATAGAAATACAATTAGGAAATAACTGAAATTCGGAATTAAAAATAAGGAATATTAGAAGTAGAGTATAGAGTCCATGTAGAAATACAATTAGGAAATAACTGAAATTCGGAATTAAAAATAAGGAATATTAGAAGTAGAGTATAGAGTCTATATAGAAACTTAAAACTAACTAAAATTTGGAATAAACATAATAAAATTAAAAGTAGAGTTTAGAGTCCGTATAAAAATACAATTTACAAATAGTTAAAATTCGAAATTAAGAAAAAATGGGAAGAAGAGTTTAATGCTAATATAGGAATACAATTTAGAAGTAACTAAAATTCGAAATTAAAAATTAAATAATATTGAAAGATGAGTTTAGAGTCCACATAGAAATATAATTAGAAATAATAAAATTTCAGAAATAAAAATAAATAATATTAGAAGAAGAACATATAGTCTATATAGAAATACAATTTACAGAAAAAAGAATTCGAAATTAAGAAAAAATGGGAAGAAGAGTTTAATGCTAATATAGGAATACAATTTAGAAGTAACTAAAATTCGAAATTAAAAATTAAATAATATTGAAAGATGAGTTTAGAGTCCACATAGAAATATAATTAGAAATAATAAAATTTCAGAAATAAAAATAAATAATATTAGAAGAAGAACATATAGTCTATATAGAAATACAATTTACAGAAAAAAGAAATATTAAAAGACGAGTCTAGAGTCCATATAGGAATATATATAATTTACAAATAACTAAAATTTTATCTTAAAAATAATTAATAACTAACACATATATAAAATGCAATATGAATATTACACATTAGTAGTTTTGTAAAGTTATTGCAAAATTTAAAATTATGTTGTTATTTTAATATATTTGAATAATATAATGAGAAAACATATATGCTATTATATGAGAGAAAATATAATGATGCTAGCCGCGCAATCTGCGCGGGCCATCATGCTAGTTTGTACGTATTACACGTGCATATATATATGTGCAAAGCTTCTTTATGAACATTTTCTTCACCACCTTGACTAATACTCTCTCCGGGTTAATAATATTTAGACAGACTAAAAATCATTCGACAGATTTTTCGTAGAAAATTAGTCGGATTTTCAAGCCACCCCCACGTGCGGTTCAAATGAAAACATATCAACGTACGTCAGTCACCGGACGTTAATCACTTCAATGATGCTAAAAGAAAAGGAAAAACAAGCAACTTACACCTATTTACATCAACTTACATATGTAATTTTAAAACTTACAGTGTAAATACATTAAAATTACATATGTAACTTTGGGTACTTGCAATGTAAAACTTCTTTTATGAAAAATACAACGGTATATATAGTCCCAAAAATATCAAATCACACCTCAAACAATTAAGTTAACTACAATGCAACAAAACAACGATGAGTAAATCCGTACATGTAAAACAAAAACTACACCCGCATGTACTTAAAAATTACATTGTATCTGTAGTGCACTTACATTTTAATCGTGGTATAACAATGGTGTGAGTGGGTGTAGTGTAACTGCATTGAAAGTTTTAAAAATGTTAAGTATAGACATAAAGCTGTTGTCCGCTGCTTGCTCAGTTGGTGGAGTGCATGTTGTGGCATCCCGACGTCATGGGTTTGATTCCCTTTTCTAGCGACTTTTTTTTTTCACTCAATGGCACATGCACGTATCTCAAAGTAAATCATGCGGTCAACAAATCGACTGATTTTTAATAGAAAATCTGTCGACAGATACGTAGCAATTCCATAATATGGGTTATTGTTTTGTAAAAGGCACGATCTTAAATAAACAACTTTAACCATTATTTTTCATTATAATATATATAAAAGTGTTAACAAATATATAACCTTATTAAAGTACTTTTTAAGACTACTCTATATACATATATTTACTATAGTTACCATATTTAAAAAATAAATATTTTAAAAATAATTCATAATTAAATACTCTAAAGTTTGATCTCACGCTTATCCAAAACGACAAGTATTATCTGACCGAAAAAAAAACCGTACTATTTGCTTAAAATATTTCTCTTTTTTAATGGCAGAAAGACAAGGCGTCGATACTGATCAGGGCAAGAGAGCACATAAAGTCTCTCGAGTCAAAGCTGTCGGAGCTGGAGGAGAAGAACCGGGAGCTGGAGGCGAGGCTAGCCAGCCGCCCCGCCGCCAAGAACGACAAAGGCGAGACGGCGGCGGCGGAAGCCGGCGACGAGACGAAGCGAGAGGACCTAGTAGAGATCGAGGTGACGACGACGAGCGGCGGCAGCGGAGCGGCGGCTGCGGCGGCGACAGGAGGAGATCAAGAGACTTGTTGCACGCTCAACGTGGACTTGCGCGGCGGCGGCGGCGGAGGCATGAGCACGACGGACGTTGTGCTCCGGACGCTGCAGTGCCTGAGAGAGCAGATCGGCGACGGCGCCAGCCTCGTGGCGATGAGCACCAGCGCCGGCTCCGGCGGCCGCCCTCCTAGTGCAAACCTAACATTACAGCTCAAGGTATAACTAACTAACTAATTAAACATTTTCTTATTGAAGTCAAACGCCAAAGCTGTCTCACACCTCGTTGATCAGAAAAAAGAAAAAGAAAAGAAAAGAAGAAATTTCATGTACATTATTGACGGTATGATTGTACACATTTTTCTCTCTAAGATAATGGAAAACCTTATACACATACTCATACTTTTTTTAGATAATGGAATAAAACATTCCGGCCTTGCAAAGTATCACTCTAACGAAGAGTGTAGTTCAAAATAAAAATAAACACACCCAACAAAATAAAAGACCAAATCAAGATAAGGAGTACACATTTATTCAAATCTATTTATAAATCTCCATCTATATTTTGCAGAAAGTTACATAACTGTCGTCTCAAGCCTAAGACATGCAACCTTCATAAGCTCTCCATCATCTTCATACTTTTGCAGTTGTACCCAACATCGGAGCCAATATGTTGCTCTGAAAATTACCTGTAAATATGAGATAGATGGTGATTTGTCAAATACCATATCATTTTTACTCAACCACAGAGCCCAACATATGGCAGATGCTCCTACAAGTATGAGTTTACTCTTTTTCTTGTCAACCGTCAAAAGCCAACCATCAAACATATTAGATATGGTTCTAGAAAGGTATAGATCAGATGAGAACTGAACTTGTCAACCCTCAAAAGCCAACCATCAAACATATTAGATATGGTTCTAAGAAGGTATAAATTAACTAAATAAAAACTGAACTGCTCTCCAAACAAATTGATTCGAATACGTGGGCATGCAATGTTCTTGACGGCTTGAATTAATTAGCCTTGACACCTCAATTAATTACTTCACTCTGCTGACGATCCTGCGAGCCCCAAAAGTCTGCATGATGGCCGATCGATAATGATGGAGGGCTAATTAACGTGGTACTTTAGTAACTTCAGGTCAACATTAAGAATCAAGCGTGAAAGTTGACTAATACTACTGTAACGTTCGTCGTCAGTCATAGCTAGCAGACACAAATATTATAACAAGATTCTCTGAAAAGTAAAGGACCATGATGTCAAACTGGTAAAGGAATTCTACACCACTGTACAAATCACGATTGATCGAGACGATAATGTATATATGGTCTGTGAATTCCTCTGTTCTGTCGTGCATATTATTATTGCAGCTGCAGCCCCCGGGAGTTTCAGCAAAGGGAGCAGCAGCAGGAGCGGCTGTTCATCAGCTCCTCGCAGATTCAGCGCCATTTCAACCAGGCAAGCTTATATCACAATTTTTTTTATTGATTAACTAGCTCGATCATGAACAATCAATGCATATAAGATCAAAGAAATATATTGTAGAATTAACTTTGTTGGGTTTTGGATTATGACATGCAGATCAGCATGAGCTTGAGCATGGATGATGTGACGATGATCAGTCCGCGGTGAGCCGGTGCCGCGGTGTACGGCGCCGCCATGGTGGACGACCTCCTGATGCATTCGTCGACGCACCATGCATGCTGTCGCCGCCGGTAGCTTCCCTAATGAGATTTACTCCGGTCCAATAAAAAGTATCTCGAGGTACTGGTACCTCACAGTATCAAATCGTTTTCGATCGTTGGATCTAGTTAGGCAAGATAGATATTCTTAAATCCAACGATCGGAAACGATTTGATACCGTGAGGTACTGGTACCTCGAGATACTTTTTGTTGGACTGAAGCAAATCTCTTCCCTAATAGGTCATACAGCCCAAAGACCTTGTCGGCGGTGGTGGCGGTGACGGGATTCCAGTAGCTGGAGGTCTCCTCGCAGGTGCCGTTACCACCACCCTTGGTGTGCAACGAGCGAGCCCCAGCACAACCATTACACCGCTAGCCTGCCACCGCCACCGTCACCGGCGATGGAGTTGCCAGCGATCGGTGGCGCGTTCAGCCAATACGCACTACTACAACACTTCTAATAATTATCGGTTTATAGGTGTTGGTTCATTTAAGAGAATTTTACGGTACAATATATATACTAATAGTATATACTAACATTATAAATGAGGACACATTTGGAATTCCCTGCCAAATTTAAAGGGGTATTTAGTAATTCGTGATTCATCTTCATTCTAATTGTCAAATTGATCGTAGATGCCTAATCTATCCGGAGCAGAGAGACGACCCATGGCATTGACCGAACGACAAACATCGGCGGCGGTGTGTAGGCAACGACGGCACGGCGGGGAGGCCAAGTATAGCGGGAGGCGCAGCTGCGGTGGTGGGTGTGTTGGCAGCAAGCAGAGCGCATAATCATGAGGCTAAGAAGCTCGCAGTTGAAGCCATTGCAGCTACAATCTATATCGTTCTATCATTTATACTGCTAGTATATACTTGTAGTATATTGTAACATAAAAGTTCTCTCATTTAAACCTCTAACCTTCACGGAATAAAAATATATAAAACTGATATATTTAATTAACTATAGGTGTCAGTTTTAAAGGGAAAACCGGTATTTATAATATTTTATCGGTTTTGCTATAAATCATTTGACAGAATTTTTTTCCACCGTATCATACGATTTTTTTTACCATCAGATCCCATCTTGAGATATGTGATTCTTTGGCACGTTCTCTGTTGATTCGTTATCCGTGAGCACACTAATTACTCTTGTGTTTAGCTGCAACTTTCTCGGTTCCTCGGGCCAAGGACGCATTTGGCTTACTACACTATTTCAATGTGGTTGTGGAGACCAGGATTGTGTGAAGCAGGGAGAGATGCACATGTATAAACAATAAGTAGAAATTATACTATAGAACAATAATAAAAATTACAATCTAAATGCTACACTATGTAATTAACTAGAGTGTAATCCACACATAATTACACTATAACGAGATGCAGATGTAGACGGCCGGTGGTGACATAGCCAGCGGCGCGGGCTGACAAAGTTGGTGTGGGGCGCCTCCTTCTTGGACCGGTTGATTCGAGCTCTCGCTTGGATGGCCACCGCGCCGGGGGCGGGAGGTGGTCGTACTCGTACATGGGGATGGGGAGAAGCCCGGAGAGGCACGCTAATTAATAAGAGACTACCTATACATTTATCGATAAATTTTCTTCTAAAAATTTAATAGATATAATTATAGTACAATCGTAGTGTAATTACACTGTAACTTATATGTAATTATACTGTAATTTGCATGTAACTACAGTGTAACTTATATGTAAGTTTCACATAATTTTAAATCATTAGATCTATTACAAGATTTATTTTGGTGAGAAAGAAAATAAATCATAGCACACACATATGTGAAAGAATTTGTTCCCACGACCTCCAATTTACCGAAATAACATATTACGGATAGATTTTTGAAAGTTACATACAAGTTACACTATAGTTACAGTGTAATTACATGCAAGTTACAGTGTAATTATATTACGATTGTACTGTAATTACACCTGTCAAATTTTTAGGGGAAAATTTGTCGACAAATATATAGCAAAATCGATTAATAATGAGTTGAACAGTGCAAGAAGCTAGGCTGGCGGCGCCTTCTCGGGCGTCACGGTCAGCGGCGTCATCTTCCTGTCGGAGCTCCACCAGACGGCGGCGACACATTTTTTTATTTTAAAGATTATAGCTAGGTGCCAGTTCTATAGATAGAGGCCCCGTTTACTTTGCCAAATGAAAATTTTGGGTGGTAATATCGGATGTTTAACCGGATGTCAAAAAAAGGTTTTTGAATATGAATGAAAAAACTAATTTCATAACTCGTCTGGAAACCGCGAGACGAATCTATTGAGCCTAATTAATCCGTCATTAGCATATGTGGATTACTGTAGCACTTATGGCTAATCATAGACTAATTAGACTTAAAAGATTCGTCTCGCAATTTCCCCCTAACTGTGCAATTGGTTTTTCTTTTAATCTATATTTAATGTTTCATACATGTGTCTAAATATTCGATGTGATGTTTTTGGCGAAAACTTTTGGGGAACTAAACAGGGCCAGAGCGTGTTTGGTTCTAAAGTTTTTTTTTTAAACTTCAACTTTTTCCATCACATCAAAACTTTCCTACACATACAAAATTTTAACTTTTCCGTCACATCGTTTTAATTTCGATTAAACTTTTAATTTTAGTGTGATCTAAACACAGCCATAGAATCGGTGCTGACCAAGATGCACACGGCAACAATGTACAGGCGTACGCCAGTGCTAATACCAGCAGACAGCGGCCGCCGCCGTCCAGCAACCAGCTGCAGCACACGATGTCGGAGCGGAAGCGGCGGGAGAAGCTCAACGGCAGCTTCGTCGCCCTCCAGTCCAGGCCGTACGTCCTCCCTCCCGGCTCCAAGCTAGGTACAATTATTAATTAGAGCAAGTTTAATACAGTAGTACAGTCAACTGCTGGCTTCAAATTATCTATAACCAACTTAATAGCCAACTAATATAATAGTTAATTATAAACATATACTATATAATTAATATCTGGTCCCACATGTCATATACACTTGCACCTTGGAGTCCGTGCTGAAGTTAGCTACAAATCTGTAGCTCGCTACCATTCTCTCTTCTCTTTTATCTCCTCGAAATATGTTTATAGCTGGCTTATACACGAACGTATACACGTGCATATGCATACATGCATATTCATGAACATTTTCTTCTACTCCGTATTAATTGATTAGTATTGATCTTCACTAATATTTGCTTAAATTATTTCTCGATCCATTTTAATGGCAGAAAGACAAGACGTCGTCGATACTGATCGGAGCAAGGGAGTACGTGAAGTTTCTCGAGTCAAAGCTGTCGGAGCTGGAGGAGAAGAACCGGGAGCTGGAGGCGCGGCTAGTTAGCAGCCCCGCCGTCGTCGCCAAGAACGACGAAGAGGAGGCGGCGGCGCCACCCGAGGCTGGCGGCGAGGTGAAGAGAGAGAGGATCGGATCAAGTCACTAGCAGAGAAAGGCTTTTTACTACCGGTTTATAACCATCTGTAGTCTTAGTTTTTCGATCGAGACTACGAATGCAGGACTAAAAATCGCTATCTTTAGTCCCGGTTCAAATACCCGGTACTAAAGATCGATTTTTAGTCCCGGTTAGTAACACCAACCGAGATTAAAAATAAAGTCATTTACCAACCGGGACTAAAGATGAAGTCAGATCTGATTGGTAGTTTCTCTTTTCTTGTATTGTTTTCTACTTTGAATATTGATTTCACCACATCCCCCAGAATCACATAACAGAACATCATCTCTAAATCTCAAATCGATCAATTACAAATCCACCATCTTCAAATACAAACATCATAAATACATCACATATTTACATCGCACACAGATCAAATACATCACAAATTCTCAAAAGCAAATTCATTACAAATCCAAAAAATAAACAAATCCTCCACTGCCGCCGTCGCCTGCCCGCCGCCCTCCACCAGGCCGCAGCCTAGCCGCCGCCACGGCTGCTTCTTCCGCACGCCGCTGCCTGCGCCGCCGCGGCCACAGCCCAGCCACCGCCTGGCCGCCGCCCTCCACCGGGCCGCCGCCTAGCTGCCGCCCGGCCGCCGTCGCGGCCTC